TCATTTTGTTTAGACCATACAACATTTTGATTTCGGAAAATGCTCTAACATTAATACAATGTATTAAAATATTCATGTCATGATTGTTTGACAAATTTATGCTAGTTGTTGACTATCTATTGCAATGCTATACTTTCTTATCTAGGGTTTGAGACCCGGCAACGGGAGTATTATAAAGAACTACATTTAATTTTATATAAGATTTTTTAATTGCTATCTGACCGCTATCAAACCAAACATTTGATGATAAGAAAGTTCTACTTACATCTTGTGCATTAATAATTTGATTTTGAGAAAGAACTCCATAATTCATTATCATGCTCACTATTAAGTATCTGGGATCAGCTTTATGTTTCATTTTCTCAATTTACGTTATGGAGTGTTTTTTGTTGTGTTAACTTTATATTATATGGTGTTTGTCTAAATTTTTTTTTGGTGAAATATTTGATGAAGCTATAGTTATGATCTCATTTTCATTGTGTTTTTTTAAAAATGCTGCAAAGCCTTGCTCATGTACGTTGTGGCTTACAGTCGGGATTTTTCTCTCCAAGCTTTAGGGTATTCATTATGTCGGAATGCATCAGGATTAAGAGAATAGAAGGAATTGCACACCAAAGTAGAAGACTTGTATGAATTGCACATCTAACCTGTAAGTTATTAAAAAAATACTAGATAGCTTTTGACATGCCTCAGATCCTCGTTTTATAACCATTGTAAGCCTTTAGATTTCTTAATAATAAAGTATCCAACAACAACAACAACAACATCAAGCCTTTATCCCACTACGTGGGGTCGGCTACATGAATCCTTTTTCTCCATTGTGTCCTATTAAAAGTCAAATTCTCGTTTAAATCTAATAAAGAAGAGTCATTCCTAATATTTTCTAACCAAGTCTTTTTAGGTCTACCCCTACCTTTCTTAACATAAGTCAAATCTAATACCTCTACTCTCCTAACCGGGTCATCACAAGGCCGCCGTTTTATGTGACCAAACCATCTAAGGCGACTTTCTCTAATCTTATCTTCTACTGGAGCTACTCCAACCTTTTCACATATATGTTCATTTCGTATCCTATCTCTAAGGGTAAAGCCACTCATCCACCTGAGCATCCTCATCTCTGCCACACTTATCTTAGTATTATGCTTCTTTTAAAGGCCAACATTCGGCACCATAAAGCATTGCAGGCCTCACTACCATCTTATAGAATTTTCCCTTAAGTTTGAGGGATACATTTCTATCACATAACAAGCCCGATGCATTCCTCCACTTCAACCATCCAACTTGAATTCTGCTGATAATATTCCCATCTATTTCACCATCACTCTGAACAATAGATCCAAGATATCTAAAACGTGTACTCTTATTAATTACTTGATTGCCCAAAGTCACAATCCCCTCACTAGGTCTATTACTACTAAAATTACACTCCATATATTCCGTTTTAGATCTACTCAAGCGAAAACCTTTAGACTCTAAGGTTGACCTCCATAATTCAAGTTTACCTTCAACTCCCTCTCTAGTCTTATCAACAAGAAGAATATCATCAGCAAAAAGCATACACCAAGGTACATCCTCTTGCAAATGTCTAGTGAGAACATCCAAGACTAAAGCAAAAAGATATGGGCTTAAGGCTGATCCTTGATGTAACCCAACCGAAATAGGAAAATACTTGGTCAATCCACCTTGTGTTTGAACACAAGTAATAGCTCCTGCATACATATCTTTAATGATTTGAATATAAGCATTATTAACTCCTTTCTTTTCAAGAACTCTCCATAGCACTTCTCTTGGAACTTTATCATATGCTTTTTCTAAATCAATAAATATCATATGTAGATCCTCCTTATTTCCTCTATATTTTTCCATCAAACCTCTGAATAAATGTATGGCTTCCATAGTCGACCTACCCGACATGAATCCAAATTGATTTTGAGAAACATTAGTATCACGCCGCAACCTATGCTCCAAAACTCGCTCCCATAGTTTTAAAGTATGACACATTAACTTAATACCTCTATAATTCGCACAATCTTGAACATCACCTTTATTCTTAAAAATAGGAATTAACACACTCATTCTCCACTCATCTGGCATCTTCTTAGTCTTCAAAATAGTATTAAAAAGTTTAGTAAGCCAAGAAATCCCTTCATCTCCTAAGCATTTCCACACCTCTATTGGAATATCATCAGGTCCAACAGCTTTTCCACCCTTCATTCTATTTAAAGCCTCTCTAACTTCAGTTTTACTAATACGCCGATAAAAACAGAAATCTTTACTTTCATTTAGGGTGCTAAGGTCACTATAGTCAATCTTATTATCACAATCTTCATTAAAAAGTGTAGCAAAATATCTCATCCATCTTTGTTGAATATCATCTTCTAAGAAAAGTATTTTTTGATCTTCATCCTTAATACACTTCACTTGAACTAAATCCTTACTACTCATATCTCTTTGTTTGGCTAACTTATACATATATATTTCTCCCTCTTTAGTATCTAATCTATTATATAAATCACTAAAAGCTAATGCCTTTGCATCGCATATTGCTTTCTTAGAATCCTTACGAGCCACTTTATATAATTCCCAATTATCAGAATTTTTAAAATTAAACCAATTTTTATAACAAAGCTTCTTATTTTTAATTTTTTCTTGCACATTAGGATTCCACCACCAACTATTTTTACTATTAGGAGCTTTTCCCTTAGATACTCCAAGCACATCTTTTGCAATATTCTTAATATCACTAGCCACTTTCTCCCACATAATATTAGCATCCTCATGCACAGACAAAATCTTAAGATCTAAAATCTTACTCACAAAAATATTTTGGTTAATATTCTTTAAATGCCCCCATCTAATCCTCGAAAAACGTTTTACTTTATTTTTTATTTTATGCCCCTTTATCTTAAAGTCCAAAACTAATAATCGATGTTGGGTACATAAATTTTCACTCGGAATAACTTTACAATCTTTGCAATCTAAACGATTTAATTTTCTAATAAGAAAATAGTCAATCTGGGTTGTACTATATCCATTTTTATAAGTGATGAGATGCTCATTCCTTTTCTTAAAAAAGGTATTAGCAATTAAAAAATTATAAGCTAAACAAAAATCCAATATGGTCTTGCCACCTTCATTCGTCGTTCCAAATCCATGGCCACCATGAATGCTTTTAAAATCATCTACCTCTCTACCAACATGTCCATTTAAATCTCCTCCAATAAAAACTCTTTCTTCAAGAGGTATATTTTGTATTAATTCTTCCAAGTCATTCCAAAAATTTAATTTAGAACTCATATCCAAACCTACTTGAGGAGCATAAGCACTTATAATATTAACAATCTTATCATCAACAACAATCTTTAAAGCTATAATTCTATCTCCAATCCTATTAATTTTTATAACATTATCCTTTAAACTCTTATCTATAATAACACCTACACCATTTCTAGTACGACTCCTACCCGAATACCAAAGTTTAAATCCTAAACTATCAATTTCCTTAGCCTTATCTCCAACCCATTTAGTTTCCTGAATGCACAAAATATTTAACTTCCTATGAATCATAATATTTATTAATTCCATTAATTTTCCTGTAAGGGGACCTATATTCCAAGTTCCTATCCTAATTTTAGTTTCATGGTCTAGCTTCTTTGCCCACATCCGTCCTTGATGTGGGAACCCTTGCCTATTTAACACTGCACCCGGGCGCCGGTGCAGCAGCCCTTGCACACTTGTCACTGTATTCAGGCCATACAACGCGTCGCTTCCAAGGGACGCCCTAGCATTAGCACAATTTCTTAAAGGATTCATGTCATTATTGTTCGACAAGTTTTACGCTGGCTGTCGACTACCTAACGCAACCCTCCATTTTTCTTATCCAGGACTTAGGACCTAGCAACGGCAGTGTTTCTTAATAATAAAGTACCAAAAAAAAAAAAAAAAAGGTCGGCCATTAAATCCCACAAAATCAAAACTCCTTATCGTAGAAATCTGGCACCATCATTGACTGAATTGCTCAGATCCTCAGAGACATGATGCACGCCAAATCAACCTATCGCAACCGCAATACCCTGATAGAACTGAGATCTATTGAAACATTATACGACCATAAAACAGTCTCAACACCTAGTCCAAAACCTCCAAAATACCACCACCCAAAGGTGCAAATTCCAATGGTCATTGAACATAGATCCAACTGCTAGAATCCTTCAAAGGGTCATTCGCAAAAATAGAGATTAATGGAAAATTTTTAGGTCATTATAAATTTAAATCAACTTCATAGTAGGGTAACAACATAGGGCATGCTTTATGAAAAGAAAATATGAAATAAAAAACTCCAATAAAATCAAATCTATTAAAATAATTAAGGGGGATTTATAAACATACCATTTTATTTCTTGCTATATAAATATCTAACACTCAAATCATTAATATTACATGCCTACCACTCATAAAATAAATTTGAATACATGGAATGAAATATTAAAGTTTATAGAATGGTAGAAATGAATTATAGGAGTGTTATATTTGATATTAAAGTTGTAAATAGGTGGTAGACATGTAATATTAATATTTTTGGTGTTAGATATGTAAGTAGCCTGAAATAAAGTGGTATGTTTGTAAATTTCCAAATAATTAATTTCATCTTTCTCTCAAACACACTTGGAGATTTGCATCAATTTCTCATTTACCACTACTAATACAGAGGCAATTTACTCATTATTCTATCCCTTAAAATTAGCGGGCATGGATGAAGTCCGCTATAATTAGCTGAAGTAGAATTGTAAGCTCTGATCCTTTTACAGGCTTAGACTTCCGTTTGCGTTTTTTGTTCTTATATTTTAATGAAGACTTTCGATTTTTAGAAGACTTCATGCACTGCTGAATTATTCCATATTTGATACTGCACCAAATAATATATAGTATGCTAATATTCTTACTCCTGCATACTTAAGAAACTTTTGGTATTCTGCTTCATTATACATCTACGATTGCAGAGCTCCATAGATGCGGTCGCGGGCTAGTACAAATTGAAGCCAACGAGGCTTTGCCAGCAGCCCCAGATACAATGCAGAGCTTTACATCTACGAAGGCAACAACCGATGCTGTTGTTGCTGATGTTTATCATATGGGAGTCTCTTCACAGAGGTCTACTGTAAGCAATCCGAGGCAGAGTCAGAGGCCTATCCAGAAATGGAAAGGGCCATATAATATCAGTAGAATTTATGGTGACTGGATTGATGATATCGATTAGAAAATCCTCTTACTTACAGTGGATGGAAACTTAAAACGATTGAAGAAAACTATTAGGAATAGCTATCTAAGAGTTTTCGTTGTGATCGAATGGATCAACATGGTTTATTACCAAGTAACCATGAAATATAAGCTTTCACGCAAATCTGGCGGTTCATGGCTGTTCCACAGCTACAGATATGGTGCTGCAATATGATGAAGAAAGCAATCGAAACATCACTGTGAGCTTTGCTGTTATATTCCTTAAGCTGAATGAGTTTTCAATTGTTACTGGAACTCATATACTTGGCGATCAATTAAGTATGCCATTTATCTGCCTAGTTTTGTTTGGATTTCTCTCTAAGTGGGCTGTTGTCATTAAATACTGCACTGTATGGCCTTTTAAGTGCCACACCTTCGAAACTAGCGTAGTTTGCAACGATGCTTAGGCTTAGGGTGGTTGGTGGGCGAGCATGGTTGGGAACCTCCCATCCCGGGTTTGAATCCCCTCTACTACGGCCTTGCCTCTTCAGTGAGGCAAAGCAAGTGTGGGCCTGATGCCGGTGGATGACCTCGCTAGGTTCCGCCGAGGGATTAGTTACGCCGTCAACCGCTCCCTTTGGAGTGACAACAGATGGATACTCCTGTGCCAAAAAAAACAAAAAAACTTATTATTCGGACTGCCTGTTAGGCCATGTCTGTTGAGATTTTATTGTAAATAATTTATTTTTATTGGTTCTTTGAGTGTATACTGTATAAGGACTTGGTAACATTATATGGTTTCTTAAGAGTATTTTCGGTTTTATTTCTGTTTATTCTATTAAATTTGTAGAAGGTTGCAGTGAACTTTGTTGATGTTGTTGTGTAATGATGAAATTTTCCTTCAGTTTTGGGGACTAGCCATTTTTTATGAGCTTGATGGCTCTCTCGTGCTTTTTTGAGGGTTTTGTGACATTTTCAGCAATGCACAGTAATTCAAGAAATTATTTTGTGCGAAGTCTGGACATAAAATATTCGTCTGGATTGTGAGTGTATACAGTGTATACATATATACAGTATCTTCACTCACAATCCAGATGGAAACTTCCCGTCCAGATTCCGCACAGAATAATTTCTCCATTAATATAAAGGCCAAAGCTCTTAAGATTTATAATTTTTTCTCAGTAGCTTGAGTTCTGCTTCTCCCTTTTCATACGATGGCATAACGCTTTCTGATTTGATCTATTCATTGATCAACTCTGAGTCGCTGTTGAAAAAAATTGGATTGAGACTTTTTTTTTTAATTTATTAAAGAGGATGAAGCTTTTTAATTATTAAATTTATTTTATGTTAGATGTAATTTATTATGAATTAATTAAATTTCTATGATGTTTATTTAAAAAAAAAATATTATAAATAGTTTACTCGTTAAATTTATATATGATATGCCAATCCAAATTTCCTCCACGTGAATTGCCTGCACATTAAAAACAATGTGTTGTCTTTTCAGTTTTTATATTAGATTTAAATGAAAGGATATAATAGAAAAAAAATGTTTCATAAGATAAAATAAATATTTGATGTTATTATTAGTCATTATCATTTTTTATGAAAGCTTTAGGAGGAGAATCATTTATTTTTTTAATTAAAAAAAATGCCACATAATTCTTTCCAAAAAAGAATTGAAGAAAATATAATGAAATAAATTGCATGGCCTTATTTTAAAAATAAAATAAAAAATTATGTGGCAGTCTGCCCTATCATTTAATATAATTCTGGTTGACAACAACTGTCCATTGGCATTATATTTTGGTATCAGTATCAGAATATCTGGAGTTCAAACTGTGACAGCTAAGTTGGCTGAAATTTTTGTTTTTTGTTTTCTTTTTACTAATTATTCTTAAGCTACAAATGTGTATGTTAATATTCAAATCCACAACCGTTTGTATTTAAATAAAATAATAAAAAATATTTATTTGATAGGATGAACACTCAAATTAAGCTAGAAATCATTCAAGCAACCCAAATATATGTATGTGTATCAGAAGTGTTAGTATGTGAGTAATTTGATTGAGTCGAAATATTGGATTGTATTGTTGTCATGGACCTCAACTCTGTTTGTCGTACTCACTAGGGGGCTACGGGAGGTCGTCCCTCTCTTTGTATATGATTTTTTTTTTCATACAATGTCCTGACGTTGTGTACCCGAGCGCCTCGATGTTGTGTAACCGAGCTCCCATATACTGTATAGTTTGCTTTGAAAAAAGACAGATAGCAGAGCTCAAGATTTGGCGTTGCAGCGCTGTGAAGCAGACTGTAGACAGAACATTGAGGGCCAGAGAGCAGAGTGTTGTAGTGCTCAAGATCTGGTGCTGCGGCACTGTCAGACATATTGGAGACAGAAATTTGAGCGTCACGGAGCTCCAAACTAGCACCGTATCGTTGTGAGGTCAGCAAGATGGTTTTTCTTTCTCATTTTTCTTAAGGGTGATGTTCATTTGTGGTATGTATTGTATCTCTCTTTGTTTGTTCTTATATAAGAATAGTGTAATAGACAAGGTAGGCAAGGAGTAAAAAAAAAAAAGGGAAGCAAGGAGTGAGTGAAAGAGAAGGGAGATCTGCACTAATTCTCCCATATTTTTTTAGTGGATTTCTTGGCGTAATATGGTCACAATTTCAGTTTTTTTTCACATTAAATCTTGGTGTTCTTTACTTTCCATTGTATTTCTATTTTTTCTTGTTTGTGTTCGTTGCGTGCTTTACTTCCACCCCCAACAAGAAGAAAAGATCAAACTACTACCGTCGCCGTTTTCTTTTGGATCTTGACATCTTTGGTCCAGGTTTCTATTCTAATTTGAGTTACTTTACTGGTTGAAAATGGAGCAGTGAAAGTAGCTTGGTGTCTGATATTAATGGCGTGGGATATCAGCTATGGTTTTCTTATCCATTGTTATGCCTGTGGCCATCCTTACCATGGATATTATTGGATCTGAATCAGATGAGGACAATTGTTTTCTTGATACAAAAACCAAATGATGGTATTTATTTAGAATTTTCATCATTTATTCTTACCTGCAACAAATTTACATCATCTTAATTGTAATGTTCAGTGACTCTATTCTAACTGTTTGGGCTTCATTTAATGAATATTTTTATGTAATTTTGCTGCTTTCTAAAATAATTTTATAATACAAAAATTTCTAGTTTAAGAAAATTTTGTACTAAAAATTTACTTTAAAAAATAATAAAGAGCTATCCCAAGCGAAGTCTAAGGCTTCGTTTGGGACGGCTTTTTTACTACTTCTTAAAGCAGTTTTTTAGTATAAAAATTAATTTTTTTTACTATAAAGCTACTTTAAGAAGCGGTAAGAAAGCCGTCCCAAACGAAGCCTAAGAATCAACGATCCAAATTATTTTACTGAAGATATACCTATGATTAAGGTTCATTCTCTTTTTCTAATTTTTTTATCCACCTTTGTCTTGCAGGAAGTTGTTTATTAAAATTTTAAGATCTTGCTCCCATGGATATGGTTTGAAATAGTTAGCCACACACTTGAGGCATAATATCATTTATTATTATGTGTTAGAAAAATGAAAACTATAGAGTGAGAGAATTTTATATATTAATTTTATACAAATATTCTACGGATTAATATATGAATGAAAAGAGTGCATGAAATACCAAATTTTTTTACATGAAAAATTCGAGAAGATCAAAATTGCTTGGCCTAACATAGTTGAAATAATTTCATTATATAAGCATTGATTATAAAGATTTGCTCGTCCCATAAATTGGAGAAAGCGAGATAATTGGAGTATGAGTGTCGAATAGTTGTGGTTGAGTGTCGGTGATCCAACGGTGTTGGTCAGATGGTAGTCTAGTGATGATAGTGTTTTGACAATTTGGTTGGGTGACGACGCATCCGGAACCAATGATAGCGGTTGGGTAATACTGATTTGATGACACTATTCCAGTGACAATAGTGATTTGATGGTGCATGGTGGTTGACCAAAAACAGACTTTTAATATAAAATTTTAAATTTTATACTAAAAACCGTTTTAAAAAATAATAACAAAGCCGTCCCAAACCGACCCTTAAATGTTTTCGACCCCATCTGAAATACTTTGCTGCTCATAATCTCTTGTGCCAAAGGAGGACAAATATAAACAGTTCATCATCATTCCTGTAAAGATAATGAATAATACCCTCCAGCTATTCATAACCAACCTAATTATTATCTTTTTGTTATTTGCTTATCTTCGATCGAAGCACATTAAACCTTGCTGATATTTATAGCAGAGGTGATCAGGTGGCAGAAACAAAAGACAAAATCAATAGGACAATAAACAAGACCAGTGGGTGTCCACTTGGAAGGCTCTTCACATGGCTAATACTTTTGCTTAGTTAACATTTGTGGTACTGCCATTAACCGCTACACAACCGAGCAAAGGAAGACCGGCAAAATTTAGTGAAAACATATGGTATTTGATATGTACTAATATTTGTATATATATCATATATTATTCATTTAATAGCCTTAACTCTCATGCTTCGTTTGAGGCGGCTTTCTTATTGCTTCTTAAAACAATTTTTTAATACAAAATTTAATTTTTGTACTAGAAAAATACTTTAAGAAACAGTAAGAAAGCCTTCACAAACAAAGCCTCAAGCTTCACAGTTAGAGATTCTTAGCATAATAAATGAGGTCACTCAGTCATGCCGAATAAATTGAAGATAAGACGAGTCGATTGAGAATGATAGAGATAGGTGGTGTAGAATAAGGTTGTAATTCTAATACTTTAGGTTATGAATAGAAGACGAAGAGTCATATGACAAAAAGTTTATATCAACAATAATGTATAAAATAAAATATATTTGAAGTGACACATCCATCAATGCACAAAAATACACCTCTTCAAAAATTGTTCCGGGGGCGAAAAAACCCGCAGGGGCAGCCCCGCGATCTGACCGGACAGGTCGAACCCTGCCACCCCTTGCACCCCCGACACTTACTTATAAATTTGCCCCCCAAATTAAGTATTGATGGGCTGAATGCTTAATTTGTCACGAAGTGCTTGAAATCTGGAGTGAGTTAACGGCTTGGTGAAGAGATCGGCTGGGTGATCCTCTGAGTGAACATGATGAAGGGTGATGGCACCACTGTTGATGTGATTTCTTATGAATTGATAGTCAATTTCAATGTGTTTGGTGCGAGCATGAAAAACAGGATTGTGAGCAATTGCCATCGCGGAAGTATTGTCGCAGTATAGAGGGGTGGGCACGGTAGGAGTTAATTGAAAATCTGATAGCAGACGTCTTAGCCAAATGACATCAGATGTAGCCGACGAGAGAGACCTGTATTCCGCCTCTGTTGAAGATTTTGCGACGGTTGTTTGTTTCTTGACGCACCATGAGATGGGTGTTGTTCCAAGAAACGTACAGAAGCCCGTAATCGATTTTCGATCAGTGGTATCACCAGCCCAGTCGGCATCGGAGTAAGATCGAAGCAGTAGATTGGCATTTGTAAGTGTGAGACCGTAATGAATTGTTCCATGAATGTAGCGCAGCAGACGCTTCAAGGCCATGAAATCTGCATTGGTCGGATCATGCATCCATTGACAGACTTGGTTAGCAGCATATGTAATATCTGGTCTCGTGATGGTAAGATAATTGAGAGAGCCTGCAAGACGTCGAAATTGCTGAGAATCGGGATAAGGTAGATTTAAATCTGCCGTGGTTGATGGCTTGAGACTCATAGGTGTGTTGACGGGTTTGCTGTGTTCTAGATTGGCTGCAGCATGAACGAGTTCTGTAGCATAGGCAGATTG